GTGAGTGAGTGAGTGAGTGAGTGAGTGAGTGAGTGAGTGAGTGAGTGCGTGAGACTGTGCCTGTGTGACAGTGGTGAGAGTGAGAGTGAGTGTGTGAGTCTGTGTGTGTGAGTGAGTGAGTGAGTCAGTGGGAGTGGGAGTGGGAGTGAGAGTGAGAGTGGGAGTGAGAATGAGAGTGAGAGTGAGAGTGAGAATGAGAGTGAGAATGAGTGAGTGAGTGTGGGTGAGGGTGAGTGTGAGTGAGTGTGAGTGCGAGTGAGAGTGCGTGTGGGTGAGAGTGGGCGAGAGTGATCGTGAGAGGGAGAGAGTGAGTGAGTGTGGGTGAGATTCAGTGTGAGTGAGAGTGAGTGAGAGTGGGAGAGTGAGTGAGTGAGTGAGTGAGTCAGTGAGTGTGAGTGTGAGTGCGTGACTGGCACAGGACGGTTCAGTCCAGAGACGTTCCAATCGACAGTGCAGTTGCTTTCCTTCGCGTCGAATTGCGACACTCAACAGTCGGTGGCCCAGAACGTGAAGATCTTGGAAGAATGCCTGCCTCCAGTTTGACCTGGACGTCAACTCATAACACACTCTTACTGGCTGAGCCACGTCAGCTCAAGACAGCGCCCAAGAAATTTCCAGAGCTTTGATCTACAATGCCGGTCGTCTGCGCAGATGTGTCCGCGGAGTCGGAATATCACTTCTACATCGGGTTGACGGTGATGCAGAAGAGAAGTTTACAGGAGGGAGGCACCGTCTATGGGAAGTACCAAGGACGCTTTGGTTTGCGACAGAAGCCTACAGAAGTACCCTGCTTACGAGCGTTGTAATTGCTTACATAGATAGATTTCCTTTTATGAAGAATTTTCTTGGTAAGCTATAGCCCTCACAAGACTTTTGAGCTTATATGCCTCCTGTGGTGGTTCTCTTTCTCTTTGCTGTTTCTCTGGTCTATCTATCTATCTATCTATCTATCTACCTATCTACCTACCTACCTACCTACCTACCTATCTCTCTATCTTTCTTTCATTCATTCATTCATTCATTCATTCATTCATTCAATCATTCATGCATTCATTCATTCCTATCTTTCATTCATTCATTCAATCATTCATGCATTCATTCATTCTTTCTTAATGTATCTATCGATCCATTTATCTGTCTACCTTTCTATTTGTCTATCTATCTAGCTATTAGCACCTGCCACGAAAAGCCACGAAATCTGCACTCCAAGGCCAAAGTCCTGCGCCTGCCACGAAATCTGCACTTCAACATCCACAAAGTACTGCGCCTGCCACAATCTGCACTTCAAGGTCCACAAAGTGCTGCGCCCGCCACGAAACACGAACCCCAAACAAAGTCCTGCGCCTGCCACGCACTCTGGGCCCACAAAGTAGCGCAGGTGCCGCGAGATCTGCACTTCAAGGCCCGCAAAGTACTCCACCTGCCACGACATCTGTACTTCAAGGTCCACAAAGTCCTGCGCCTGCCACGAAATCTGCACTCCAAGGCTCACAAAGTCCTGCACCTGCCACGAAATCTGCACTTCAAGGTCCACAAAGTCCTGCGCCTGCCACGAAACACGAAAAAAACACACCCCCCCCCCCCAAAAAAAAAACAATTCACAAATACACCCGCGGCCATTAGCTTTTTCATTGTATTTGGTACCATGTTTGTCATGCCCAAGGACCGCCCCTGGTCACTCCACGTCATTCCCTGCAGGGTTTGCCGATTCGAAGCGACGGGGGGTGGGTTGCGAGGAGGCTGAAAGACCGGCATTCTTGGACAGAATGTATGTTTGTTTCTTTGAATTTGACATTAAGCTGGCTTAGCTGTATGGCCACACTCACCAAAGATCTTAAACCTTTAAAGGGGAGCAGAAAGGAGCAAGGATCCCTAATCAACTCAGTAGATGTGCAAACAAACAAGGGGCTCGGAGGTCAACTGTGCACTTTGCTCAGAGGAAACCTTTCAACACTTCAATTTTGGGGAGACCTCCCCAGGCCTGCCATAGACACGCCCTGGACGCCAATTCTTTCCCAACATTGATGACCCAGGATCTGGGCCGGATAGGTGTTCCTGGTTCAATTATCCCGGCAAGAGACCCCAAACAGTGTGTGTGCGAGGTCTATAAGCAGAAAGTCTCAAGATCTAGACGCATTGGAGTCCAGAGAGGTGATGAAGGTATAGGGATCGTGGTGACGGTGGCGGCGGTGGTGGTGAGTGAGTGAGTGAGTGAGACTGTGACTGTGACTGTGACTGTGAGTGAGAGTGAGAGTGAGAGTTTTCTGTCACTGGCAATTCTGTGAAGGTGTTCCGGGTTCCGGCCATTTTGTGTGCTGGTTGGTTGCTGGCGGTTCGTTGATATGGAAACACAAGTGTCGAGTAGCAGTAGTGGTAGTAGTAGTCGTCGTCGTCGTGGCAGCTACGCTGGCTCCAGCCGCGCGTGGGAAGTAGTAAGTAGTATAGAAGTAAGTAAGCAAGGAAGCAAGATAGCAAGTAAGTAATTAAGAAAGAAAAATATGTATGTAAGTAAGGAAGCAAGTAAGTAAGTAGGTAAGTAAGTAAGTAGGTAAGTAAGTAAGTAACTAAGTAAGTAAGCAAGTACGTAAGTAAGTAAGTAATTAAGTAAATAAATAAGTAAATAAATAAGTAAGTAAGTATGTAAGTAAGTAAGTAAGTAAGTAAGGTAAGTAAAGTAAAGTAAAGCAAAGCAAAGCAAAGTAAAGTAAAGCAAAGTAAAGTAAAGTAAAGTAAAGAAAGTAAAGTAAGTAAAGTAAGTAAGTAAGAGAAGAAGTGCACCATGGAACGGTAACCCTAAAATGCTTGTCCAGTTTCACTTGAGCATTGCAGGACTGTTTCCCTCTCATGCTAGGGAATCACCAGTCAACCAAAAGGGTTCTGGTCAAGGACAGACTTGCGTGCGGATGTTTGGCACAAGGCCTCTGTGAGAAAAGGCGTGTGCGGGCGTCGGGTCTCGCGTTTTTGCGGTTATCAGCCGTAGGCTCTCTGCCTACGGTTGTGCCGTCGCCATTACCACCTACGTTGATACAAGCGTCGAACCAACTGAACTGATTGGCGACACACTTTGGCGTTGCGTGCCCGCTCCGAGAGGCGGGAGGCGAGGGTACAACCAGTAACTGAGGCATTTGCAAGAGGGCATTGCACAAGGGCTTTACTCGAATAGATATCCTTTTGTTCTTCCTGGCGGACAAGCCTACGCTGCGCGTTGGGGATTTACAATTGCTGAGGCCGGTGTGGCCTGGCGCAAAAGAGTTTTCTTCTTGGCGTGTCAACCTCCAAATCATAGTCCCCTAAGTGTCTGAGCCGAAACAGCAAGCAAATATTACACGTTTGCTAGTTGCTTTCGTAGGCCTCCCCCGGCAACCATTCTGCACTGTGTACGCACTAACTTTTCAGAGTATAAGCGCCAAGCACCCCAAAAAAGATTGTTCAGGTGAAGGAGGCCCCCAAGTCCGACGTCTTCCTTGAAAAGGCGAGCGTAGACTGCTGCGTTGAATGGGGCGGGGGGGCGGTGACGACGCTCCTGGGTGACGATTACAGGTGAGTCGGTAAGCCTCTCGGACTATGTGTTTGCATTTTGGATGGCCTGATGGCAGTTGATAACTCATAGCCATTCCAATTGATTTGAACATCTAGAGATGTGTCAGTCAAAACAAACCACTAATGAACCACTCTTAGTATGTTTGATATTTTCTTGAAATTATGTGCATGGTTGTTTGGGGCCACAAGCACAATCAAACGTAAAACAAGATCGTATTTGCAGGTGCGATGTTCCATTTCCGGACGTGTATCCCTATTGGTCAAAAACCTTAAATTAACATACATTTTTTTTGAATATGTGTTTTATTCAAAGTAATTTAACGATATATCACTCACCATGATGATATGTTTTTGGTGCACAACCTGTGTTCCGAACAAAAACAACCCTGCGACGTGTTCACGACACTATGCACGCAGTCCTTTGGAATCTGGGCAATTGTATTTGTTTTTTGTCTTATCCTGCATTTGTGACATCACTCTGGATCCACGGCCACCTTGTCTTAGAAGGTACGACTGGACCCTGCTGCCGTCTACATAAAAAACAAATCGAACACATCACCTCAGAAGGTATGTGGATGCATTAATCAGAACCTGACAGCACAACATGCAAGACTTCGGGGAGACGATTCGCATTTTTGATGATGTAAACTACAAGGCCTGTGATTTTCTTGGTCATGTTCAAATTTTCAGATGATCAAGTCCTTCATGCGGGTGCCATAAACCTTTGTCATAAACCTTCAGGTCTCACCGGTCAATTGGGTAGCTGAGGTTTTTTGCGAGACCCAAATCCCTTTTCTGCAATGGAGAACTGGTCTTAACATCATGCCTTGCTTGGATCATGAAGTCATGTGGCAAATGGGTAAAAACTGCCCAGAAACCAAGGCCCTCAAACCTGGTACATGAACATGGGCCAGGTATACCTTGCAACACAGGTTTGGTGATGTTCACTAGGGTGCGGTTTGGCATGGCTTTGGGATCGTCCGTGCAGACCCCTCACCTGAACCTGAACCGAATTCACCGCAGCACCTCAGCTAGGCCACCGACATCCAGTTCGACTCCTTCGTGTGCGTGGATTTGCTGCCGATGTGCCTTGGGGACGGAAGTCTTGAAGTCCGCGGGGGGGGGGCCGAAGCGGTTTTGGAGCCGGTTCCATGTCTACACTCTACACCAACTGGAGCTAGATATGCCGATGCCAATCAATTGTGGCCCTGGGTCAAGAAACCCCAAGGTATGGCAAATAGGCCAGTAGCAGAAAGGTCATGCCGCTACGTGTGGGAAGCGTTGTGATTTTTGTAGGAACGCGGCGGCTTGGAGCGACCTGAGACCTAAGTCAGCATGGCATTGGCAGTGTTTGGTGTTTTGTGTGTTTTTGATGTTGGAGGTTCCTGCAAATAGAGAGCGATGATCGCATGATGGTAAAATGAGGAGTTCCTTTTGAGGTAGAGCTATGGAGATTGTCACCAGGTTTGAAACAATTCTTATACCAGATCTACCCAGCAGATTTGGCAAGGTGGTCATACATAGAACTGCGGAACCAGGATTCGGGTTGTTTTCCGAACTTCCATCTCCCCCTGATGCCATGGACTTTCAGGCACCATAGGGGGTCTAAGTCTAAGTGTGGTGCTTCTTCTTCGGCTGAGGTTTTCAACGGTTGGCACTCCTCTAGCATTGCCCAGACACGACTCATGGGACTTGCATAAATGCTAATCAAGTGACCCCTTTTCAACAACAGATCGGCAAATATTCCATATATGTTTGGGGTGGTTTCTCAAGTGACTGGCTGCGGCAGCTTGAGGAATCGTCCTTTTCAAAAAAGATGGCCTTTGGGCGGAATTCACTTATATAGTTATTGTCCAGGGCCACCACCTAGATTGCTCCACCACTACCCTTCCAACCAGATTCTAGTGGCTTTCACCTGGGGAGCTCCCAGGCTCCGCCGCCAGGCATCCGCAACCAGACCCAGTCCGGTTCGCCCACGAACCGAGCCACGAACCGACCACAGACCGCCACGATCCGCCACTGACCAGGTTGGTCCGGATCCTGCGACAGTCACCGGAGCCCTTCGAGGCGGGTCCGGAGTCCTGCGGGGGTCGGTGAAAAGCACCTCGGTCAGCACAGGTAGCTTTTGAGCCCTTGTTGGTTGGTTGGTTGGAATGGTGTCCTCTTGAACTATATGCTTTCTACCAAAGGGACAACAACAGCCATGCGCGCCATCTCTTTGGCAGTAGTTCTTTGAAACCCCGTGCCTAAAGATGTTTTGGCCTGCACTTCTCCTGCACTTCTTATGTTTTGCATGAATTGCTTCGAGTCTCAAAGGCGCTAGAGGGGTACCCGGGTCTTGAGTCTTGTCACCCACAAGTGCATGTTTTAGACTGCTTCCGGTTTTTAGGTGCCAAGTGGCCAAGTTCCTTGGGTTTTAGGTCAGGTTTCAGGCTGCTGGAGTTTCCTAAAAACCAAGGTTTTTTAGGGTCATGTTTCTTCTCATTGGCACCGGTGCTTCAGAATCAGTGCAAGAGCTCGAGCACGCGATCGTTGAAGGGTGCGGGACACCATCACTACACCATCAGCGCGCCATCAGCAGTCGACACGTGTAGTGGTTAGTGAATGCAATGCTATAGTTGAGATCACTTCGCAACATTTGTGCTGATCAATCATCTTCCAATCAAGCCCATGTTTGAGTCAGTTCTATTTCGGATCATCCATCAGTTCTTGCGCCATGTGTCTTAGCCGCGCCCGAAAACTTGTTTCTGAGCCGAGCTGGATCCAACTCCTAGTCGAAAGGTCACCTCGAAGGACTATATATATATATATATCATATCGCTTTGCAAGATTATAAGTGTGACAGTGTGACATTCCTTTTATTTCTTTCCACCAAGTGGGTAAGTTGTAAGTTGTAAGGATTTGATGTCAGGCACCTTATTTTTAATGTCATGACTGTCAAGAGCCTGACAACCATTTGGATCCTTCCATCCTTCGATTTTCAACCATGTCGCTTTCGTCGGAAGAGTCGCGTCGCCCATCGTCGGTCCGGCTCCCTCGTTGGGAAGGCTTTGGCGGTGTGCTTCTTGCTGAGCTCGGTGAGCACGTCGTGTGGAGCCTCGGAGCCGTGCAGGGCCGGGATGAGATGAAGACCGGGAACGAGGCCAAAGGTCAGGTCAGTCAGTGTGCTTTGCCTGTAGAATAAATAGAATTGCATGGTTCAAATTGAAAGTTATGGGTATGGGTTGAACCCTGAGGAAATCAGATAATCAAACTGAGATGATCAGTATTTCCTCCTAGAATTGACAGTCATGAATGTAACTCTAGGCAAACCGTGGTTCGGTTTTTAAGTGGTGTGGTCGTGCGGGAGCCAGCGGTTCAGAGATAGAAATGATAGAATTACATCTGGGTTTTGTTTGGCAGCGATTGTGCCCGAAGTTGTTTTAAAAGGACGACCATTGAATTAGGAATGATTTCTTTGAGCTGTGGCAGACCTCCTCGCAGAGGATTTTTGTTAGGCATCATGAGCTGAGTGTATTCCCCTATGACTGTCCTGGCTTGTCGGAGAGTTTCGCAAAGAGCTGGAAGACTCGACCTCTTTTTCCGTGAAGAGTAAACCTTCGAATCATTGGATACTTTTCTGATCCCCAGGGCTCCTGGCCCACATCCTCAGGTAGTAAGACACCCCCGAAAACCTATCCCCAACCACCTTTGAAACGGAGGTGGGCCAGGGGCCAGGAGCCCTAGGGGGATGGACGTTTGCGAAAGCTTCGTTCACTTTCTGAGACCCGGGCAAGCCTCGCTGGGTCATCCCAAACGAGAGTGTCCGCCATAAACAGTTGGCAATGTCAGAGCCAAGGGCAACATGATTGCCAATCCAATTCACATGTCGAGACGATGAGAGTTGGTTTGAAAGGTATTGTAACTACACATCGGATGCAACCCATTTTTGACCAAGTGACGTCACGTTCCACGCCCTGTCATTGAATCCACCATGCCGTCATGCCGTCACTTGGGAGGGACTGAATGGACTCACCCCAATGGGTGACATTGGGTACTATGTATGGGTACATATTATGTATGAATGGGTCATGCCGTTCGACCCATGGGGTGGTTTTGGGACTCGATCGACCGCCGACCGCCGGTCCTCAGACCCTGCTTGCCGCCGCACATGCCGGATGTGTTGCGGATCTCTGAGCAGGGGGATGCCCAGTTTGGGGCGGGGGGCAGGTGGTGTGATAGCGGACTAGTCAGTAGCTGACTCATGCTAACTAACTCCACTGTTGATGGAAGAAAAGATTGCTGTCAACTGCTGGAACCACCAAGACACATCACCCATTGGGCGTGTTTTGTTGCAATCGCAGGTCGTGGAAGCGCCTTTCTTCCATCAAATGTACTTGAACTATAGCAGGACTTCGACTGCATAAGGAAACCAACAGCTTTCCAGGTCTACACATGGTTCATTTGATCTCCACTCCCTACACTGAGTGTTTCATGGACTTGGCATTGCTCACCAGGCATATAATTGTTTGCTGTCCAATTTTGTGGTTGAAACCGGCCGGTACAGGTGCAAACTGAGAAGATATTTTGTCCTCAAAAGAAAGGACCCAGCAGTCTCCCTTGTTCAACCACTTTGTGGATTTCAATGGGTCGGGGGAGAAGTGATGACCAGTGGTCCTCTTCATTTCTTGTTTGCAGTCCTGGTTGCACCAATCAGGTAGCATCCCAAGAAATACAAATCATGACACCAAATGTGGTGCCTGTTCATTTGTTGCTTGCTTGCTTGTTTATTTTGTTACCATAGGAATCAAAGGGACTATAGTGGCAGTTGAGATCTTTTGCATCGACCTGCGGGCTGACCCGCCGACCTGCTCCTTCCGGCATCTCCCAGGAAACAATTCTTGAGTCCTTTTTGGTCGCCCCAAACCCCCGAAAGTATCTCACTGGACTCTGCTTGGTTGCTAAACCCGCTGGCCACGCAGTTGATTACTGTGATTGCAGGAGGAACATGGAGGAACTTTGGACAACCCAGATGTTGCGCCAGGAACGCGTGGATCTTGTATCTTCAAACCCTTGGTTGCCATGTTGTCATTGCATGTCATTACAACAACAGCCGCAGACAACCCTGAAAAGCATATGAGGTGAATTCACTGTTAAATTGGCGACCAGAGTTGTCACCACCATCGTGAGACTAGCATTTTCACCTGGCTAACTCCCTACACTACACACTCTCCTCCCTGGTTGTGTAAACCTACCCTCCACTTCACACAAATTGCTTAATAGTTATTCTAGCCGTCCTTTTGTTTAACCATGTTGAACCCTTAAGCCCCAAATCAGAGGATCTGCTGCTACCCGCTTCCTCCCAACCTTTCCGGGATAGTCCGGCCTTGTTGCTGCCAAGTGTCCCAGTAGCACCCACCAGGATCAGTGGAGCAATCCCCGAAAATCATCCGAAACACCTTGGCAGGAAGGCCTTCCCAACTCTCCTGGCTCCTGATGCGCCGGTGCGGGACCCTGGCAAAAGACACATGGGCGCACGTGCGTGCTTGCGGCGTGCTTGAAGTGTGCTTATGTGGGTTCAGTGGAGTTTGGGTTGGATGGACATTCTATAGGTAGGTTGCACTCATCCTGAGATAAAAGGAAGGAAGAGAAGGTGATGGAAGAACAGTCCCGGTGCTGATAGGGATAGGTACTGTAAACAGTATGGGGGTGCTACAAATGTTGTGAATCTTAAACTTAAACTATATGTCAGAGGTCACAATTTGTTATCTCCCTTCAGGTGGTGTTTCTTCCGAGCCCTTATGTTTCTTCCAAAAATAGAGTCAAAACACCAAAAGAGTTCCGACTTTGCCCCTCACCTGACCAGATGATCATAGGAATTTGCGCAACACAATTACTATGTGGTTCTTTGGTATATTTATATCAACCCCAAGCACTTGTTTGAAGGAGGATTGACCATTTTCAGCTCAATCCAACAGGAACAGGGTCATCATGATTAAACCACCAGATCTCTTGGAGACTTCTGTTTTCGCTCAGTTCAGACCCCATGGCGCTTTTGGGCTTTTGACTTCACCGCTGGTCTGTCGCTTCGCCCAGGCCCGCGACACCATGATGATGGGCGAAGAGCCCGGGGAGGCGAAACGACGCGGGGCGGGCGGAATGGACTCAGAGCAGCCATGTGAGAGGTTCATGGTCCATGTGAGAGACGGATGCTCTGGAAGAGCTGCAGGAGCTGCAAGCTCGAATGACCCATGGAACCTGAAACATCATATGTTTTTTTCTACGAACATCAGTGGGTTCATCAATGTTCCATGTTGATTTTCAGCTGTGACACCCCCAATACAGCCTCCCACACCAACACCGCCTGACAGTGGTTCCTCCCCGCTCACCGCGTGTGGCGAGGAGAAGCGTGGATGGAACCACTTGAAGATTCCACCGCAGAGTCGTCCAGTTCTCAGTCGGTTGGGGGTTGGTGCACTGCTGTAGATGACGCCCCACGCCCACGCCCACTGCGATGTGGGCTGTACCACATGGAGGTCATGCTGGACAGATGTGGAGCCGCTGGTTTCGAGCCTATCGGAGCATCCAGCAGGAGGTTGTCCAATGGGCGTCCCTAGAGTACTCAGGGATCTCAAGTGGACACGCATTAGGTAGATTTGGTGTATCCTTGCCAAAGTGCTTCTAGGATGTCAGAAGCCAGGTCAAATGTGGAAGCCAGGACATGATTGCCGAAGCATTTCTTGTGGAATGTCACCTCTCCAGGCTAAGGGACTTGCTGGGAACAATTTCTTCTCGATCATTTGTACTGCAGAAATTTGTGCTGTGTTGTTCGGAGTTTAGATGATTGTTGCGATATTGATTCCTTGGTCAGATTATAAGATCTGCATCACACTGAAAGTAAGTTCAAACCACCTTTTACCCCGCAAAGGACGCACTGACCATTCACCCATCACTTCCAAACAAACCTCTCAAGCCACTCAACCCGATGCATGTCCCATAAGGCATCGATGCGGGCATCCGACGATGCTTCATCCACCTACTCTCGCGGGCGGCACATGTGTCTCTTGGCATGGCACAGTGTGAAGGATGTTCTGCGGCAGTGGTTGGGACTCACGCAAACTACTTGACAAACAGCGCAGGACTGAGCAAAACAAACGCAGGACAGCGCAGGACTGGTGCAGACTCCTGTAGACTCTACCTAGTGTGAAACATGCATGAGTCAAAGAAAACCATCGCCTTGTGTTTAAGGGACCTGAAGACACCTCCAAGAAGGGAACCCTAAGCTTCTGGGCAAGCGAAGTGATGTGTGAGTTGTTAACGAGTCAAGAACAACTACATTGCAGTGCATGTTCATCCTCGATCCCTTGGCTCTCTCCTTTCAGTTCCATCGTTCACTTCGCCTCTTGGTGGCTTTTCACTACCTCATGGCGCTGGCCGATGTGCTGCCAAAGGTGCTCGCACACGCACCGGCCGACCTGCAATGTTTGTCATCGCTACGAGGAGCCAACCGATACGCCAAAGAGCGTGTGGAAGCTGCATGGTGGACAGAGCAGGTGCAGATGGGGTTTGACTTAAACAGTGGCATTCCACAAAGACGTTAAAGGGGAAGATTTGTTTGACCGATATTGGTATATGTTTGTTCAATCATGTTTGGGCAAATCATTTAAATGTTTGACAAGACGTGTTCCAAACATCAACAATTCCTTGGTCAACGGTTTTGAGCCAGTTCCCAACAGGTGCGAAAGATGAAAGCCTTTGTGGATCATCATGCTAATCTATTTGCTGATGATCCAGAGATAGATGAAGAGAATGACGATGTGACCATTGAAGAGCAGCAGGAAGCCTTTGCTCGGAATATCTTACTTTGGGTCAAGCCACTCCTGGTGAATAAGCCGTGGAGACCACAACCTTCGGCACCTGGCACAGGTGAGGTGACTCCGCAGGCAGCATACATCAATCTGAGAAGGGCAATCGTGAACTTGGGTTTCCTGGAGCTGCTTCAGCAATTGTTCCAGAGGGTCAGGGACCATCCTGAGGATGTACCATACAATGTAACTTTGCCTCCAACGGTTCTTTTGGACATATTTTTACTTCAGAAACCATCCTCAGGAGGTACGAAGACCCAGGCAGCTTGTTTTGTCACTCCTATTTGCTTGAGTCATGACTGTGCCCGGCCTCCTTTCATTGACTCACTGGCCGACACGTGTTTGCCACTGCAAAAGCATCAAACAGATTCCAAAGGGGCTCCCAACTCGAGAGAGAGAGAGAACATTTTAAAACATGGAATCAATGTTTGTTCCCTTTTGTTTGTGTTTGTTTAAGGGATGTAATGTGTTTGAACTGGTGTTTGTAGTGTTCAATCGATCCTTTCAGAGTACAACCATCCCAAAACTAGTAGATTGGTGCGTTTGCCAAAAGCATCCAAAATCAGTTTTGCAACACTAACCCCTGGCAGCATCTTAGATTTACATTTGTGTAGAGTGTTTTTTTGATAGAGATTCAGATCTTTGTCCTACCATCAAACCTCGTTTTACTAGTTTCTATCCCAGCAAACAAGCAAGACTTCTTGCTCGTTTCCTTGAATGCTCCCTGTGATGCTTGTCTCCAAGGTGAGAGAGACAACCAAGTGCTCCGAGACATCCTCCAACAAGCGCGCTGCATCGAGCGCCATCATCTGAAGCATCCCGACACGGTGCACACCGTGGTGTCGCACGCCGATCGCAGGCAGATGGATGAACCCATTTCACAGATGGTGGCGAACCGTGAGACCAGCGAGGTGAGGAGTGAAGATGCTGTATCTGGCTCTTTTGCACAGACCGCAATCAGGAGAAAAGGAATTACCAGAGACGAACTGATGACCATGTTTCAGCAGAAAGGACTTTCGGATCAAGTGGCTCAGGAATTGCTCAGAGAGATGGAGCTGCGGGGTCTAGTCGCAGCTCCAGCCCTTTTGGAGCGTTCCGAGGCTTCTCCCAGTGCTCCTCCGACCTGTGCTGGTGCTGACCAGGAGGCAGTTACAGCAGCGGGTGAGACAGAGCTGCATTTGGCTGCACGGAGTGGCAATCATTTTGCTGCAACTTTTCTGCTTGCCATGGGAGCTGACAAGGAAGCAGTAACAGCAGGAGGTGAAACAGCACAGCATTTGGCTGTGCGGAAGGGCAATTATGGAATTGCAAAAATACTCCTAGACAAGGGTGCTGACAAGGAAGCAGTA